AGAGAGAGAGAGACGCGCGTAAAAGCCCGTCCACGACGACGCGGCCGTGTGCCACTTAGGTCGTGATCACACGCACGCCCGGCGATAGCTTCGCGCTGTACGTACTCCGTACGTTCGCGAACAACGTGGCCGGGATGAGGAATAAGAGAACCGTCGTCGGAAGCCCCTCGCGTCGCGTGCTGTTTTTATACCCCTTGTATATACATATGTATATGTACGTATATATGTACACCCTTCGCCATCTCCTAGTCTGAGTCGCGCGCGCTAGATCTGCTCCATCCTGAGCGCATAAAGACCTAGGTGCGCTAACGAAGAAACAGCACGCGATGCGAATAGAATCACTGCTCCGCTAGCGGCAGTTGTCTTTCCCGATTGATTCTGAGGGTTGATCTCTTCATTTCTTGCTCTTCTCAAGATTTAATCGACGTATTCTCTCTTTCCCCCTCCCCTTCCTCTCACTCTTTCCCTCTTGCCACACACACCCTCTTTCTCTCTGCCCCCCTCTGTCTGACTCTCTCACTCTCTCTCGCACCACACATTCTCTCTCTCTCTTTCTCTCTCTCTCTTAAGTCAACCGATCGTTTCCTTAGAACCGGCACGCGACAGTTTCACCCCGCGATAAAGACAGGCATTCTCACAATATATAATACACGTACCTTAGAGACGAAGAACAAGGAAAAGACGGCGGCAACGGCGGCGGCGGCGGCGGTGGTGGTGGCGGCGGCGGCAGTGGCGACGACGACGACGACTACGACGGTAGGGCTCTCCTACGCGAGCGTCGGACGGCGCGACATCCTCGCACACACGATCCTCGTCCTTGATAGCGACGATATCGCCCGGTCTTCTGCTGCTGCGCGTAGTAACGACAGTGCGGAAGCACTCGAATGCACGAGCGGAACACGGGGTTACGCGGTTTATTCACAAAACCTGTAAATAGTGAACATTCATCGCTGACGATTGGCACACACACTAGAGGGCAGGAGCGACGGATGGGAAGCGTTAAAAAGTTATGCCCAGGGCCGTAATAACAGGATTGTGCGAGCGCCGTCCCCCGCGCGTTAGATCCTACAGCGGCTCTTTACTTTTTTTTTGTTGTAGGAGATGCGACGACGAAACGAGGAGAAAGAGAAAGAAGAGGAGGAAGAAGAGAACAAGGCGATGAGGTTGAGAGGTAGAGGGAGGAGCGAGAGAGAGGTTGCTTTTAGGAGGGGTCGTTGTTGGATACGTCTGTTGCGTCCATTCGTACGGCCCGTGTATTAACCACTTCCCCGATTTGCGAGGAGAATATATTCCGTGATTTATTTCAGATATATCACGTAGGCGTTTTTATTTTAAACAAAATAATATGACGAGTAAGCACAAAGTTCATATATAAATTCATGAGAATACGCTATTTTACTTGAATTATTTTTTTAACAGATTAATAATGTAAAAATGATTTTGTCTCAAGAGTTTGCAGAAAGTCTCTTATCTCACAAGAAAGTGATTACTTCTGCACTGTGAACTCAACTCTCAATTCTTAGATACACGGAAAAAATAGTCTTGAATCAAGAATTCTCATATACAAGTAAGAATATTATAATCTTCTAAGATTTTTAGTCTTGATTTAATTGAATTTGTATTAATACAAATATTACTTGCACTCCATTCAAGACTAAAAATCTAAGAAAAATCTAAGAAGAAGAATCTTCTAAGAATATTATAATATTCTTGCTTATGTATGAGAATATCTATCATTGATTTAAAGCTATTTTTTTTTGAATAACTCTCGTCCTGTAGAGAAAATTCATTAGCATTATTTAATACAAATTATATTTATGAGAAGTTATATAATTAAGAACCATTCAGATCGTTATCGGAAATATTTTCAGTTCGAGTAAATTTCTCTCAGGACACTAGGTACTCCGTGGCTCTCCTCGCGAGTCTGACATTCGACAGCGAACGATGCGCGTGTGCGTGAGGGCGAGCACTCGTTTGAAATCAATTTCGGGTTCTCGTCTTGTCGGCATGACGGTTTTAACTGTTGAAATCGTTACCGTGCGCTGGCGGTACAACACAGCGTTGCCAAGTTTACACGCAAAATCAATGCCGTAATAAAAGTAATAATAAAACCGTTAAGTAAGCACCATGAATCCCGGAGAATGCGAAATAATATTTTTGGCGCAGCGGTGAAACGCTGTCTCGAAATCGTCGACTGTGGTGCGTCTCGTCGTGAAATCGTAATATCTCTCTCTCTCTCTCTCTCTCTTTCCCTCCCTCGACAAATAACATATACGGCCTTTTCGTGGAAAAAAAAAAAATTATATCCTCCGCCGACAAACGAGATGTGTTACCGCTCGTTTGATTTTAACGATGGATTGAGCAATTCGGAACACAGAGTTCGGCTTGAGACGAAGCCTGGGCGCGATCGTTGTTATTGCAGATCCTCGATAATACGTACCCTCGCTAATTAATTCGCGCGTGCCTTTACGCGATCGTTTCATTCGCGCGATAAATTGTTGTCCCGCCACATCACGTATGCGATTACGTTACCGTGGCGCTTCCCCGTCGTAAAAATGAGCCCTACAACGGCGCGATTAATCAACGCGAAGTCAATCGCTATGATTTGACGCGACGGGACTCCCTTACGACGAGAGGAAGAACGGCGAGAAACGACGCGGCGTGTTTATGGCGTTCGCGATTCTTCGGGGCGAGGGCAACACGGACGCGACGGAAGAAGCGGCGTTTCTCACGATTTCACCATATCTGTTTAACACGCGTAATTCAATCGCCGTTATACTTTTACCGTGGCTCTGCGGGTTTAGAACTTGCGGCGCGGAGTCGCCCGTAAAATTTCAGTCTTAATTTATACCATTACGTCATTGATATAATCTCCTTTCGACTAGACAGGATAAACAACTGACGAACAAATCGAGAGAAAACGGCTGTCAAAGGATAGCGAAATCCGACGTTATTTTTTTTTTCTTCATCTTTATGGGAAAACGAGTAATTACGTGTATCCCCCGAATCGTTGAAATCAAACGACGCGTCATGAAATTACAGGTAATTTTATCGACTGACAGTAGTCACGAAGCCATTACCCCCGGATTAATTTCGGGTGGCGCCGGGAAAGCTCCCTACCTAGCAGCAACGCTTAGAATTTCTGGCATTGTTTACCGATGCGAGAGTGTCGTTATGGCCTTGCAGCAATGAGAGGAGGTTGGTACACATACGCGAGTTCGTTCGCACAGGAGAGCGCGAGGCAGGAGAGGGATCGCGCGCAGCTATGGAGGAGGGAGTGACGAGGGCGCGGGGTCCTCCGGTGAACGCGCACGGCCCTGATTGCACAGTGCTCCTCTCCGCACCGCTTCGTGTCCCGAACGTGTGCCTTGCGAGGAGAGCACGGAAGATCCGAAGGATCAATTGATACATACTAATCGTGCAGGACGTATAGTCGTCCTATGATTCTCTCGCTCGCACAGACAATTGTACGCACACTCACACACAAGTCACCATCAGCCACGCTCAGCGCACACCACGGCCGCCAGCAGCTCCCGCCATTTCTGCATGACGGCCGCGACGTGCCCGTCGAACAGCTGCCGCCGACTCGAGCGCGGATCGCGTCAGCCCCCCCGGACGACGATGATCGCATCGCATTGCACACACGCGTCCGATTGCCGCGCTCAAATTTAAATTCGCACTGACCGTTCGGCTGGGCGCACCGGCGAACACCTGCGGCGGCACACGCGACTACCACGTTTCCCACGACACACGCCGCTCTTCGTATCCGACGATAGCCGTGGGGATCCGTTCGCATGCACCCGATGTTTATTTCAGCCGCGACGTCACCGATCCGCTCGCACCTCTTGCCACCGTCGTCGAAAACTGCCAAGATGGCGCACGTCGCCGTCACGTGACCCGCGACGTTTTATGACGTTACGCTGGATGTTAAAGGGATCGTCGGGCGGCCCAGTGGCGTTTGTTGCACACGATCACGTGACCGGCTGCACGTGCACGTCCAATAGGAGAGATGCTTCCCGAAAAATAAGAAGGGCAATTTGCAATCGCGGCGGCGTGAACGGGGTTGACGCGATCGTCGGGCATCCGCCCTTTTTATAATGCCGCTTTGACAACGGGGGTGCGTTTCGTCATGATGGTCGTTTGAAATTCGAGAACGAACGCTTCTTTCCTCTTTTGAACGTTGCGATTACTGCGTATAAAGTATGGCTGCGATCGCGATGCTTTACATTTGTATGTTGTATGTTGATACATATAAATACCAATTATTGTGAATTTTGACTGATGTATGTGTTGTATAAAAATACATTTTTATCACATAGTTTTTTTTTTTTTATAATCTTGAGAGATGAAACTATTTTATCCCCATTACATATCCTATCTGATTTTGAGTTATCGTCGAATAAATCTAGTTTGAATTCTCATTTTTTACTCCCCTATTTTTAGAGGAGATTATTTATTATTATTTATATAATTTTATATATTCTTGTACAGCTTTTTCTTGAAAAATCGTTGCTAATTTGCATATTTATAGATATGAGTTAGGGAAACATATATACTGGGATGTATAACGCATGCTTTCACTATAAAAATATTTATTTTTATCATAAAAATCTCTTCTCCTCCTTTGCATAGTTTCTTCTTATTAAAGCAAGATTGCTTTGAAATCACTATAGACTGATTTTTTATATAATCTAACATTGTATATTAAGTTTAAACATTCTACTATATACAATGTAAATCTTATATAAATATTATATACACTTCAATAAGAATGTATAATTAATGCTATCCAATATTATCTTCGTCATCATCATCAGCATTAAAGGATAAGACAACTTTCTGTGACTGCTTTAATTTTTTAGCTTTCTTCTTAGCTGGTTTGTCTGTATTATTTGTATCAGATTCTGTTTCTGCTGGTCTAGTTTTGCGAAATATGACCTTCTTCGATAGATCTGCAGGAGCATTACTTTCCTCTGTAATTAATTAATTTGTAATTTATAATTTGATGTGGAAGTACATTAATATTTAGCAGCTAATTCTATATTTATATATCAGTGCTCTTTGTTTTACGATATTGAGTTTCCCTAATAGAAATTCGGAATAACACATTTACTGATACTATACCTTCATCTTTTTGTTTTTGGAAAGTATCTGCCTCTTCTGCTGTCAGATCACCAGAGTTCAATACAACAACAACAGGCTTCTCATCAGCCAATTCTTCTTTCTCATCATCTGAGATTTCTGGTAAAGCTTCTCTCTGTTTTAACAAATCATTCATATATAAGTTTTATATAAGCTGTCTCCTTATAAAAATATTAGTAATTAATTACAGAGGATCATAAGATAAAAATTATGTAAAATACTACAATGAACAGTTACTTATTGTTATGGCGATTACAAGAATCTTACAAATATTTTACCTTTGTATCGACATTGGGGCCTTCTTTGTATCCGATTTGTTCTTTCAGTTCTCGTAGAAATTTCGGTTCGTCCGGTTTCATATAAGATATATTGTGCTTCTTTCTTGACATAATTTTTCTTATATTTTGAACGAGATAATTATAGGTTAGAAAATAGAGCTTCAGTCACAAGACGCGGCAATCATACAACAAGGAGCAACATAACCCATTATCGTAAGTATGGATTTTTCGTGACCGGAAAATGTCGATGATGAATGAATCAATAACACGACGTTTGTTAAAAAATGAATGAAAGTTAAAAATCCCCTTTTTAAAGTGCATTTTTTATATTTTCGACACAAATTATTTTTTAATATAAAAATTCAACTGAAAGAAGCTGAAAATTGAACGGCCCTCATTTTCTTCGATATATCTTAGTTGAAAACGATAATAACATTATAATAATGATATGTACAGAAACTGGAGACTTTAAGCTTCAAGTATCATCTCATTATCGTCATTGTTGCCGAAACTATAATACATTAAATTTTGGTTATGTTTGTATAATAGAAAAATGTATCTATTTAGTCATTGAGCCATACTACTTGAGAAAAATAAAAGTACAGCTGGTTGTCGCAAGTTGTGTTATGACTCAACATAATATTCAATTATATAATTTTTACATAACATGGGGGGGAATCAAAATTCTCAGAAATAAAAAAGTTAATTATTATCATATAAGCATCATTTATTAAATCTGATCAAATTATACATTATGTTAACTCTGTACAATTTTTTAATTCATATAAAATTCTTTCAGATATTCAGCTTTAGGTTTCAATATGACTTTATCTCTAAGGCTAACCACCCATCCTGGTGCCAGACCGTAAAACAATTGCCGCGGATCCTTGCGTTCGCACAACATCTCATAATCGGGATCGTCCTCGATTTTTGGTAATTCATAGCCGTATTTCTGCGCGAGCACTAAACGTTCTTGAGAAACTTTCTCAGGATCAGCCAAGTATCCTCTTGTAACGGGGTTGGAATAATACTCAAGACAGTCTGTCGGCGGCAAAAATCTGCGAAGTATCGGCTCACCTGTACAGAAAAATGGAATTACACAGAAAAGAATTCATACTGATTGAGAATTAATTAATTTAGTACAATATTGTGTTCTCATGAAAATGTTTTCTGTCAATCACCTCGGCTGAAAAACTGCTCTACGTTACATATGGCTGAGAGAGCTCTTAGGTCATAATAAGCAGTTGTAATCACACCACCATTTCTCTCAACCGCGGCGATTACAGGCTCGCTGGCCCACTGTACTTCTATATTTACTTTTGCTTTAAAAGTATGTGCACCCTTCAAAGTCTTTATGTTAATATACAGTTTCATCATGCATATGTCATATGAAGATTATATATATATATATATATATATTACCTCATCTGTTAAGTGAATGCCTGAATGTTTATAGTATAAATTAAGATGGTATAAGCCTGTGTTCATCACTGAAACAAGATCAATTGGTTTGGTAACATCCAGCCGATTTGTATCAATGTACATCTGCAGATCTCCCAAAGAAAGCGGCGGATATTCTCGTCTCAAGCTAAAACCACAAAATATTATTTTTCAGTAGTTTACTCTTACAAAAAGAATAGATCTGCAAAACTGCTTACTGGTGGCCCTTATAATAAGGTTCTTTGCTGAATCGCAAATAGAAAGGACTATTTCCAGTCTCATAACCCAGACGTATATAAGTTTTTCTCGTATTTCCATAACCATGTTTATCACCACCATGTTGTCCTCTCCCACGTTTCTACGTGAAAATGATAAGTGAGGGAAAGATAAAATATTTTAATTTCATTTTAGGAAATTTAAAATAAGTGTCATTCTAATACTACTTCATTAAATGTGTGCACACAAGTACAAATAGAAAATCATGGAATATTAATCTAGTGTCATAAAGTGACCTAGATGCAGTGATTAATTTATATAAGTTTTTACAAAGCCTAACAAACTGCAAAATGTTTTATTTTCTAAATATATACGATCTTACCGTTTTTATTTTGCCGGGATTATCTCGGATGTTCGTTAACATCACCCTAGGTAAAACTCGTAGCATTGACAATGCTAAATCCTTTCCTTGTTTTCCAGCCATGTCGACGCGTCTGTGTTAGTCAATTATTAAATCTTCAACTGATTTTACATTCACGTTAAATAAACACTGAACTTAGATATCGATAAATCTTCCAATTTATCCTAAAAATATCTTGGTTATGGCTGCGGACGACCTTAAAGCTTTGAGTATATAGACATGGAGGAGGAGTGCTGGAACCGAAAGTGTGTTCAAAGTATGTACGAAAGAGAAAGGTATACAAGTGATATTCGTTCTTTCTACGCATGCGTCACAAATATTGAAATGTAACCATACTGGAAAGAGCACAGCTTTACCCCCTCCACGGTACGGAGCAGTCGGAGATAGTTCAGCTGGGACCGTGTTTTCTTTTTTTAGCGTCAACTACCGTGGCTGAAAACATTAGTCCTGTACACGTGACAAATAATGCGTGTGACAAGTGCATAATCTATTGATGTACAATGGGGAAGACACGCTATATAAAAAATTGTTGCAATACGCGAGATAAAAATCCGGATGTAATCCGGATGTGATAAGATTTATACATTACTATGTATACACAAAAATAACAATAACAATTTCATTTGTTGCTATATACATACAATTTGATTCCGAAAATTATTATTTCTTAAGAATCTCCTTTCATCAAATAAAATTTAGATGTGTGGAAAATACTTGCAAAGACAAATTTTTCAGACTGGATAATATATCGAGTTACGTGATCGCTGCAATTGGTTTGACAAAGATAGCACAGTCCCAACTTGACTATTTCTCTTATACAGCTCTGACCGCACGAGAATAATGAAGCGCTCTTTCTAGTATGGTTATATTTCAATGGTCACAAGTAACGTTATTAGAAACAAGTTATATCTCAGCTGTGATGAATGACAGATGACAAGACCTGTTATAAATGACATTATATTATGATGTAATAGTGAATGGATAAATAAATATTAATAACATCGTGTTATTTTTATGACGTCGTCCAAAGAAAAAAATTAAATGTCCTCTGTTGTTAACATTAAAGACACTAAATTTATATTTATTTATACATGATAGAAAACCGATTTCTCCCGATTGTCACACAATACACAGATTTTGAACGTATTGACTTGGCCATTTTTATTAACAATTTATATTATAAATATATTTGTTTTAACGAAGTTCGGAAATCAAGTACAGAAAGTGTCGAAACTGTACTGCATGCAACGATTTTGACGCATGCGTAGAGACGACATTACTTTTATACCTTTCTTTCTTGTACACTTTCGGTCTATAAGTAGAATTCCTTCTCCATATCTATATATTTAAAGGCTTGTCTTAAAGCTGTTACTTTATTTTGAAGCGCTTATATTATATTATATTATATATTGCCCATAATTCGTACGCGAACTACGAAGCCAGTGTCCACAATTTTTTGGTTTTATTCTATGTGCTATGTCTACGAGTGAGGCTAGTATACATGCATCGTATGAGCATTGTCGGGTGTGCTGATTGGCTGTTGGATAGAGAATTTTAAGGGCCCCTAAATTTTTCTCTAGACACACTAGAAATTCTCTACCTGACCTCTTTTTCTTTATCAAATGAGAAATAAGAGAAATAATTTATTCACGTTGCTTACACTTTTGCATCTATGCCCGTTGCACATCGAATGCGATGAGCGATATTCAATGACAGCTCTTCTTTTTAAAGAGAGGCCAATGTGTAACGGACGTTAGCTGTAAAAGTGCAAGCAACACGAACAGACCTTATGTTTTCGAAAAATAAATTTTCTCATTGGACCATCGGTTGTGTTTCGACATCCGACTTCAACATACGACGTATTGTAGAATAGGCCTTAAGACCGTCTTTGCACGTAACAAATTTTTAATCATAACCGTAATGGCTTCTGCCCACAAGACGCGGTAACGTTTGCCGCGCGGCGGAAGTTCGCGCAGTAACCAATCAACATGCCGTTTTTCGGTAAGAACTAGAAGTTAATTGGCTACCGTTTCTGCTACTATATCCAGGAGGTATATTTTATACTTTTTTATGTCATCTATCAAATTAAACGTCTGATTGCAAGCTATATGCTGTTCATTAAAGTACACATCTTTCAATTATTCCAAACGTTAATTTTGATGCAAACGTTCGTACGAACATCCAGCTTATGATCGAACATTATATCGAGTACGGTAATGAGAAATAGTAGATCAATAATCTGCTGTTGGTGAGTTTTACCTCATAATTACATAAATAATGATCGCATCAATGCATTTTCACAAGAATATATTTATAATTCCCCAATATTAGTGCAAATGGTTAAAAGATTGTTCATAAGGCTGACGATTATTTACGAATATAACGGTTGCGATGAGATTTGTGAGGCGTCTGTCAGATGGCGCCAGCTCATCGAAAACGATGGACAGACGGATTGTCGTTGCAGTAGTTCAAATATTACGACGCCAGTGACCGTTGGCACATTCACCGTGCGCGAATCAATCTCGAAAATTTCGACTCATTTCGGCTTGTAATTTACCGGATCGTTCAGACGAAACTCGCCACGTGCAAGGTACTTTATCAAACTTGATTACGAGCGTAATAACATGCGTTTTTCGATTCGCGTTTCCTCAACAAAAGATCACCCTTCGGAATAATTGCTAATGTCGGCCGAGGGGGGGGGGGGGGCCGGGGGGGNAGCCAACAACGAAGTCAATAAATTAGGGCGCGCTAATCCTTTTTAAGGCGTAGTACGTTTTTAACCTAAGCTAGGTTGTTGCGGTCGCCTACATCCTGCTGTTAACTCCTTCGAGGGTACAAAAAAGTTCTGCAGATTAGCCGTATTTGGAGAGTTGGTTTAATGAAACCGACCAAGGGAAGGGATTGGATGAGATTAGGAAGGGGATTAAGTGTCGGGGAACGTAAAACTGGCGCGACAAAAAGCGAGCGTTAAAGACGAGAATACGAGTAGTGTAACATTCACGTTGAAGCAAAAAAAAAGGAACGCGAAAATGTTAGGAAAAAGAGTGGCAAAATGGCTTGGGAATATATCGATTCGGCCGACCATTAGTAAGTCGTCGTAAATCTGTGCTCTTTATCAAGCGCGTTATATCTATCAAAAGAGACAGTTGCATTTTGTGCATGGTCGGTACAAAGATGTATCGGCGCAGATTCAACCGAGGAGATGCAAACCAATCAGTCTAATAGAGAATCTCCCCTGTTGCCTATCGAATGATTCATAGTACATCTTTCTCTCTCTCTCTCTCTCTCTCTCTCACCCCTCGCTCGCTTGGGAAGAAAATTTATTAATAAGACTAACCAAACTCGCGCGGCGCCGGACAGATTCGCCATTATGACGTATATCCTGTCGCACAGATATTTAATGTCCGAGGCTAGTTAGTCGTGATCGACCTTTCTTTTAACGTCTATTAAAGCGTAATCACATACATTTAGAAAGAATATTCGGAGAAATCAATTTATCCAAATAAATTTGCTGAGAGATATTCGTGAGAGAGAAAGCGAAAAAAAGAGATATAGAGACAGATAGAAAGAGAGAGAGAGAGAGAGAGAGAGAGAGAGAGAAAGAGTACATTTACTTTGAATAAAAAATAAAGCCTTCTCCCACGTTTCACGTAAAAAATCCCCCGAATTACGTAAAACCGTCCTTCTCTCAGTTTTATCCGTTACTTTTAAATCACGGAGCTCTTCGTTCCCGCGACGTCGTCTGCCGCAACGCGGAATACAAATTCGCGTCGTCCCTCGACGTTATTATAGCGCAATAGCGATCGCCGCTCCGTGATTACCGGCCCACGAATTCGCTACAATGAGGAAGCGTGTTCGGATGGATTCGCGAATGACTTACGTCAGGTTTGCATAACTGCGCAAAGTGCAGAAACGTATCGGGCGGTAAAGGCGGCGTCGCGCGAGAATGGAGAGGAGAAAGACTGAGAGAGAGAGAGAGAGACCTTACGAGCGCATTGGAAGTGCAACTTCTTGCGCAAGAGGTGCTCAGCAGTGATTCATCATTGTTACGGGGAATATTGGGATATATATCGGCGAGGTCCCCCCGAGGCCGAAGGCAAATGGAGTAGACAGGGGTCTATACCCTCCATCTACTTAAATGCCCCCGCATTCTAACATCGGAGGGTACTCGCCCGCACCGTTTCCCTGCAGTTTTCTGATTAAACTACGTCTATTACCATGGAGGGACCGCACTTTACGCTCCACGCTCCGCGCACGATCGCTTTTACGGCTCGCCCGTCCCCGTAAGCCTTTCGCGGTACAATTTGTCGCGATGAACGGTTTGCGTCACGACTCACTATCTTTCTCGGCGTGTAGGAGGTCGGTAAGAAGAATTATAATTATAATCGGCGATCGTTATTATACAGAGAGAACGCTCGCGGCTCGCGAGGAAGAATTCAGAGATACGATTTTATCGTCGTGTGCACTGCGCTGCGGTATTATTTATATGTATCATTATCGCGCGCGGCACCTGCTTGCCAGACGCTTCACGGCCGTCCTACGGGTGATCTTTGAATCCACACCGCAGGTATTTAAAGAGATCGTCTCGTGTTAGCGAGTTCGTGAAAATTGAACGGAACTTTTAGCCCACCCGAGTTGGAATTTCGGCCCTACATTCGCCCTGCAAGTTCCGTCGAATTTGAACAATCAATAATATTATAGAGGGTATATCTAAATATTTATTTTCAAGACTGCCGTCTTCTTTATGTTGATACTTATTTCGCAATTATTTATTATCCGATTATCTCAATGTTCTATTTACATTTAATCTTTATTCTCAATTTCATGAAAAATGTTATATGAAATATTAATTATGCAATTTTTTTAATTGCATATGGAACAAGGTCGTTGGAGAAAAATGCATGACAACTGACGCGACGTCAACGAGAAGCTGACTCAATATTTCCAGAGCTTCTGCAATCAGAAATCAGGATGCTGGGTCAATAGGCCAGGATGCGGGACGCCGAGACGCGGACTACGTGTATTCAGGTACGTGAAATCATTTTTTATAAAGAATGTTTCAACGGACGTTTGGGGTGCTGAGAGCAAGGAGATATCTCCGGAGTCAAAATTTAGACTGGCACTCCATCATCATTTGACAAATAATTATAAATTCAAATAACTTGATAAATCTCTGGATTACTCGTCGACTTGCGTTTATATACTAACCGGTGAAATAATCTCGATGCAATTAAGTCATTAAAATTTTCTAATAATACACATTCACTTCTGGACA